TTACTGTGGTGGAGAGGCGGTGATGTCGTTTTTTTTCATTGGGCAGTCGTTTCATCAAGCCCACCGCCGGGCCCAACCCCGGCGTATCCACCTCTTCCAGCTGCCCACCCAGCTTGATCCCCTGCTGCCCTCCCAGCACTCTCTAACGCAGCGGTCTTGTCCATCGCTTGTTGGACTGTCTTCCTAAATTTCTTTTGCCGCCGGCTCTTTTCCCATACTTCAAAACTTTTTTTTGTTTGTCTTCACTTCAAATCAGCGCTCACAGCATTAGTACCGTTTGCTCCAACCCGTGGTCACACAGAAGAGCCCCTCTCTACCTTGCCCTCCTGCGGTACTTTGCCTTCGATTTTGAATGCGAGAAGAGTTCAGCACTCTCTTCCCTCTGTGTACACACGAACTAGCGCTATCCACTAGGCCAGAAGCGGATGCGAGAGAAAAACTCACTTTGCAAGAAAAGCTCGCTTACGCCGGGATTCGAACCCCTGACCTGACCTCTAGAAGGTTTCGAGGATACCAACTAGACCACCGGGGCGACCAACCTATACAAAGAAAGAAAACAGCCTTCCCGCCAGAGTTAGGTGGTGCATTCTGTTGTCATCAGTAGAGGACACCATGAAGAGGCGTCGTGCGTGCTGGCATGTTCAGGTTTGCTACTGAAGCGGAAATACCGAAGGTCGCAGCAGCCTTTGAAAACAGGCCGAAATCTTCGCCAAGCGGCATCCAACATTTGTCACAGCTGTGCTCACCGCCACGGACTGTAAACCCCTTGAACGGAGGGGTGTCAGCCGTGGCTAGTGGCGACGAGCATGGCTGTGACAAATGTTGGATGCCGCTTGGCGCAGATTTCGGCCTGTTTTCAGAGGCTGCTGCGACCTTCGATATTTCATCTCCAGTGGCAAACCTGAATGTGGCAGCACGCACGACCCCTCTTCATGATGTCTTCTACTGATGACCCACCTAACCCTCAAAACTGACCTTGTTTGAGCGCCTTCCGTTTTGGCTCTATTGACTTGAATTTAGAATAGCGTGAATTTTTATCTTGATTTCAAAGGAGGCGTGTAGAGGTAGCTGCGTGAAATGGATGTTTTGAGCAGCCTCTACTGACGCCCTGTGCGAGAATCATCGATGTCTGTTTCACGCGATGCCTTCCGACTGGTCTTCTTGTGTGCCTGTTGTGCAATTTCTGGTCTGGTGCTCTTGCGTTTGTTTTCAAAATTCGTCAACATTATTAAAATTCTTCTTCTTCCCCACCTTCAACATGGTCCTCACAAGCCCAACCCATTTCAATATCGGAGCTACGGGCAGCGGGCTGTACAAGCCGAAATCAAACCCTATAAGACTAGTCAGACTACATGTAGTCAGCGGTGACTAGTCTCAAGGTTTGATTTCGGCTCTTCATGTATGTCTTGATTTCGGCTTCCATAGGGCTACAAGTATCGTGCGCTCACTTTGTATGGTACCCCTCTTGATGCTTGCAGGACCCGGAGACCCAGAGCCTGTGTGGACGCTTTGATCATCGCCCTGAACAAGGCGTTGTACGGGGGAGTAAACAGGGAAGAAATGGTACACCATCAGCACGATTCAACTTCAGCTGGCGTCGGTGCACCTCCTCTGTCTGGTATGCCGAAGCACGTCCACGTTGCACGACCGGTGAACGCCTACCCGTCTTTGTTCCGGTGATGACGCTGCCTCCGAGGCGCATGGGGCGGGCACAGTAGCTCCAAGAAACTCATGGCAACACGGGTGTCTGTCTTTAGGGCGCACAAGGTGACGTGAAAGCTGGTGGGTTCGACGTCCCGGTGCATCGGGTTGCGTTGTCGAGTGTGGAATGCTTTGTCTTGGGCAATGCTGTCAATGACAGCAGGACAAAGCAATATTTGGCCCAGCGAGATGGAGAGCCTCTCACTTTCGAAAGACTTCGACCAGCCAATCCACCAGCTCCTGTGGCCAACATCGCTGCATCGGCTTGCCCGGCTCGGTGACTTCGAAAATTTCAACCAGTCGATGGGCGGCGCCTCGTCGCCGGCGTCATTGCAGGGGGTTACCTTCAGCAAAGCGTTCAAACCAGCAAACTGACCAGGGTTCCGTGGCCAGCATCGCTGGAACGTTTGATATTCACGAATCAGCCACTTGTCCAGGTCATGTGACTGACCTGCAATTTATTACTTTCGAGACGACTACGGTCGCGAAAGTACGGTCGCGGCGCTATGTAGATTCAACCCCCCGATCGCCAACGTGTCGTGGCCAGGGCTTTAGGTAGCAACCCACGAGTTCGTTTGGCCCGGATCGATACGGCGGCTGCAATTCAACAGTGCCCTCGAGTGGCCGAAGGAGGTAACCACCTGGCCTGCATCGCTACGACAGATACGTATCCACCGGGGTCCGGGGGAGCCGCAACCAGAAGTGCCTGAAGTGGAAGTCTTCAGAATTCCCGTCTATGTGCCCAATGATGCAGAGCCCGGCGTGGAAGTTTTCGGAACTCCGTAATACCTTCCAAGGTGAGCCTGGCGTGGGAGCATCAGATATCCGTGAGCCCTTTGACATTGTAGATATTACTCAGAGATGGTGTGCTTTTTATCACACACCGAGGCGCGCAACTCTCGGCAAAGTTCTTTGCAACGTGCATGATTCATGTTGGTAGGCACGTCTATTCTCAAACCCCGTAGAGGATTGACTTTCTGTCCCCAGTAAAACCCCGGCTGAGGTCAGTTCTATGTAGGACGCAACTGCCCACAAAGCAACTTTCTACGCAATACGCAATTTCCTGAAGCAAGATACGAACCGCCCTTGATCTACGCGATTTGTTTGCCCTCTCCAAAGCCAAGTCGCCCGCTCTGACAGACTCGCGAGGCGGGTCCATAAAAAAGTCCTTGCCAATGTTTTCTAGGGCTTTTTCGGCAACGACGAAATCTAGAGACCTGTGTTCGGGCGCGCGCATTGAGCGAATGCAGAACACGCGTCCTCCTCAAGTCTTGTGGAGACTGGCTACAAGTATTTTTTGCTCTTGGGCGTTCCAAACATCCGGTGAACGCATGAATGAAGTTGAACCTCCCCAGCCCCACTCCTAAATGTACTCCGATATATAAGCAAGCCATCGCGAAGTGTATATCCTCCAAATGGCGTTCGCAGCTCAGGAGGGACGAAGCTATACCCATTCTACGTGAAGACACACCAGCGAAAAGAAATAGATGGCACATGAGCGTGCTGCAACACAGACAAGAAGGGATGTTCAAACCGGAATACTTCAACAATTATCCTCCTATGTATGGACGGGCAAAGTGCCTGGTTGGTGACGAGTCGCAACATTCCAGTGGTTAACATGCCACAGCTACACACGTCAGCAGTGAGAGCAACCACAAACCACACCAACAGATGACACTCCACGAATCTGCGGTCGATTCTTGTTTTGGTTCGTCAGCCGGCTCGCTCGGTGATGAAGCGACCCACGGTCTCGATGTACTTCTTGCTCTTCTCCGGTGTATCTTGGAAGATCTGGTGGCTGTCGCCCTCAAGCGGGATGCACACCTGGGGATGATCGTTAAGTGCATCACCACGATAGTAACTAGCCAGGCGTGGTTGCGTCATGCGACAAGCTTTGTGCAAGCTAAGCCTTGGGGAAACTTGACTTGTGAGCTCGACGAGAAGGTTGATCAGAGAACCTCGGCAGAGAGCATGTGTGCACCTTTGTTCGGCATCCGACAGAGAAAAGCGCTCAGGGGCTACCAACGAACGAGAGGGCGGGGGAGAGAACGGAGAGAGGCGGCGAGACACAAACAGGCAGACAGAGATAGAGAGACAGCCAGAGACCCTATAATGCCTCCTTCTCGCTGTACCTTGTCTTCCATGGGCAGATCATCCACGAAACGCTGGCAGTCCTCGTACAGGGTGCGCTGGTCCCCCTTGTAGTGCATCATCAGTACGCTTTTCACCTGGGCATGGGGGCACGGCATGCACGGTCAGGACCTTGTCAAAACTGAATTCCGACCGTTTTCATTCCTCAATTGGATGCCCACCAGCACTGCAACCAAAAACCGGACGACCAAACTCGTTCTGACAAGACCGGTTGTTAGACACTCTCAATCCCAGGAAGTTCTAGAAACGGCGTCATCAGCAGTAGGCGGCTCACACGGACACGCATCAGAACCGCGAAATTCTCATGTTCCCCATGAGGCGCAATCAAGGTCCCTGGGGAGACGTTTCACATACACGAAAAAACGAGCTAGAGATAGCCTCACGGGACTGCATGACGAGAGCTCCATCTGGACGAAATTCCTATCAAGCCCTCAAACGAACCCCGCTGGCATTCACTAATTGTGGTCGTTTCTCGGCTGCATCGAAGTCAGATAGTCCGAAGCTTACCAAGACGTGTGTTTGGCATGACGTGAGACCTTACCGGACACACGGCCAAATCGCGTCTTTTCGCGTGTGTTTATCGATCGAACCTACACGCTTGGTCACGCAAAGGTATCGGAAGCCGAAGCAGACCTCCGAATCACAAGGTTTTCGACGTGGTGGCATGTTCTGTCAATAGTCGTTTCGGCGTGCCTATGACTGTTTACTTCATCTGATTTGTGTTTTCATCCCGTCTAACTGAACGTCATTTGCATATGTATGTTTGGACGCACCAGCCGAGGTCACACAGCGAAGGACCGCCACAAGCATGTGTAATATGTTATGTTACTCCCCGCCTTGCTCTGAGGCGGTGCTTGCCTTCATTTCCTAATCGTTGTTAGGCATGATGTGATTGAGGCAAAACCCAGTTCATATTGCCGCGCGGAGACTCGAACGAATGTGTCTGAACGCCCGACAGGTTTGGAGAGTATGCCAACTGCACCACCACAGGGCAAAAATAAGTACCATGGTAGAGTCCCAGAGCAAATACGATTATTCGTCTTCTGTTCAAACCCTGTACCATCTTCTCCGTGCGCTTCAAAACACCAGCGCTCACACCAGTATGCTCCTTCGCAGCAACACCAGTGTTACGCCATAACCATCCCTCCTCGCTTCTCACCTTGAGTTTGGCCGGCCCTTCCCGCTGCACCACGTCCATGCCTTTCAGGAATCCGAGCATGTACCCGAATCTCAGCGGTGCCATCTCGGTCACCAAGGGGTCCGCTCGAGCTACCGGGCCGACGGCTGGGTCTCCGAAGGCCGTGTCAAACGTCTCTCCGCCGACAGCCGCGCCTGGCACGCCCAGGGTAGGCATGAGCCACCCCACGGCCTTGAGCAGGGGGAAAGCCGCCTGAGTGTGTACAGGCGCGTGGATGGAGAAGTGTTCGCCGATAGGGAGAAGTATGAGGGCTGCGGAGGGGCTTGTTGTCGGGGATTGGTCGTTAGTAGACAACATCCTAGCCTTGATGGAAGCATGCTAGAGGTCAACCGAAACTGGCACGTGAATGAAGGTCGTGAATTATGTTTTTTACCACGTTCGCAATAGTGCGCGTTTAGTCTCTCGTGTGCGAAGTCACCGTGATTGAACATATTTTCGCCAGGGTCATAATTTCGAAAGGCTTCGATACTTCATTCGCCTCTACGTCGTCTCCAGATGCTGGTACACGCTTAATGGTGTGTGTGGTCAGGTGACGCTATCACACCGATGGTACCAAGGGGGGGGGGGGCACTCAATTCGCTCCCAGCCCCACATGGGGTAAATCGGTATGCGCCTTGAAAATCGAGTCTAGCAGGCCTTGGACTTTACCATGATTGTGAGTTTTGTCAGGGAAATTGGATTGGGACCAAGGGCAGACGAGAGAAACAAACATTATGCAAAACTCGCTTGAAAACCAGTCAGTGGGTGCATGAACGGGTGGGCGCGGGAGGTCTGACGTGTTTCGCTCAGTAAAACAGAGTATTTCTGGCGCTACCATCCACAACCTTCGGAGGCAGCACCGCTGGCGCGACCTGGAGAAGGGCCCCGCAAAGAATTACGCCATCAACGTTGTCGGTGGTGCCGTCGTTGGCCCGCTCCGAAATCAGGTGCTGAAGAGCGGAGAGGCCGCCCATGGACTCTCCTAGGACAAACAGGGGGCAGCCTTTCGGGAGGGCGGTACGCGCGCGGGCGATGGCCGCCCCGACTTCTTCGGCCTGGCTCGCGAAGTCCGGACAGTAGGCTCTGGGGAAAATGCAGACAACGGTGTACACAGGCAGTAATACACCGGGACTGTTAGCACGCCACACACAGGTGAATGAGGGCCTTGATTCCGCTGAGGACATGGCCTATGGGGTTTTTTGAAACATGAAGCTTCTATGGTTACAAGTGCTTCAAGATGCAATTGGAAGCAGGAAGCAGGGAGTAAAATGTTGTATCTTGTGCAATACGTACGTACGTGTGTTTTTTCGTACGTGTGTGTGTGTGTTTTTGCTTTTTCCATAAAGGGTGTTATGTACAACAATACAAATTTAGCACACCCCGACAAACCAACATACCAACCAACATCTTCCTTCTACACATTTCCAGCATAACATGCAGAGAGATACACAAGACGGCTACCAAACTGTCTTGTTGAGCCTGTTACCCACAGGGGAGATGTCGCTGTGTGCTGCTCGGGAAAACGTGGAATTACAGGTAGCCTTCCTCTGACGCTATGAATTCATTGCTAATCTATCTTAGACTCTTTTCTCAGATAGAGATGGATTCGTTGTGTCATATTAAGAAAACAAAAAAAAAACTGTCATTGCGTAGACCACCGGTTGCACTATCACCTCGGAACATAACAACTATTGTATGGAGACCCGGGCAAGAAGTTGTATCGAGGGGCGAGCCTTCTCCTCAACCAAACACCATAAAGCGAGTATTTCTGACGGATCCTACCAAAGGGAGGGAAGAGTCAGAAATTGGTGTTTATTGGAGTTGGAAGAAGGCATTTATATTATATGGCGAAGAGGATGTCTGCGTACTTGGTCGAGGCAGACGCACACTGATCATCCTTACTCGAGTCTACCACGCCACCCTTATTTTTTCCGAACGAGGGGGGGGGGTGTACTCATAGTCGTGCATGCCGTAGTCGTTAGACCATTGGGGGGGGGGGGGATGATAACAGGGAAGGGGTGGGGACAGGCGTACCAGGGGGTATTCCTTGGATATGTCCATTTATGATTGCTATTTTCTGCGCGGAACTGGTGTACATAGGCTGTTGGTTGGATGCCAAGGTAGAGTACCATTGGGGGTCTCGGTATACTGAGACGGCATTTTGTTAGACCTAAGCCAGTTAACATGGAAGGGAACCTCGGATGCTGGATGAGAGAGGGAGGCGGCCGGTGTCGCACCCTCGTTATTTGCCAGTGGGTTACCTTCCAGACTTCGTGGAAAACACACAATAAACCTTATGTTCTCAACCAAACACCATAAACCTTATGTATGGTCTTGCCACGGAACACGTGCTCGGCGACCAAGTGTCGGTCCCAGGGCGAGCCTCATATACCACACATACATACATGTTTTCACGAGAGGAGGGTATGTGCTCTGCACCTGTATCCGGGAATAGCGTCATCAGAGAGTCCATGCGAGATAAGATCAGGAGCCGACACGCGAATCGAGTACTCTGCGGAAGACAGCAGGTCGCCAAGCTCCCCGAACCAGCCGCTGTGCCAATTGCCGCCGTGGATGAGGACGAGGCCTGCCTTGGGTTTGGAGCCGGTGGGCAGGACTTCCCAGCATCTCTCGACGATGTTGACCTCCCTGCCGTAGCTTACGACGGAAGG